CCCACACCCAGCCGCCGTGCTTGGCCAGGAAGCGGTAGTACTTGGTGGTCACTTGCCCCTTCACCAGCACTGCGGGGGACAGAGCGGGGAGAGCCTCAGCGCGGCCCTGGGGAGGGACCCCACCGCCACCCACCACCCCACAGGCCCCCGCGGGCGAGGAGAGGGGCTGGGAACCCCTTAGCGTCGCGCTGGGGAAGCGCGGTGGGCAGAAACCCCCGTGGGCGAGGGTGGCGGAGACCCACGGGTGTTCCCAGATCGGGGCTGGTCTCTCCCACCCGTTATCAAAGGCTGTTCGGGGAGATGGTGGGGCAGGGCGAATATAGCGGGGGGTGGCCTTGCCCCCTCACCCCGGCATTTTATCGTCGAGATTGAATTCTCTAAGTCTGGCTTCGGGTTTTGCCTCTTCTCGTTACATTCTGTGTAAGGAAACTTACCGGAAATTAATATCCTTTTTATTCATCTACCCATGTATTAACATCATTGTGATATCAAAATAGAATAAAGAACGGCTCTCTGAATCGGGCTCACTGCTGTGGTCAAAATTAGATACACGGAGAAGATTTGTGAGACTTGGTGGAAGTGGAACAAAAGTATTCCGGTCTTTTTTGGGGCAAGAAAAAAGGGTTTTTCCTAACCGGAATTTGAAGTGAGCTGGGCGCCTGAGGTTTGTGCAGGGGCGTTCTTGTCCTACAACTGGTGAGGAGGGAAATATAGCCTTCCATTGCCCCCCCCACCCCCCATCTCCCTCCTGCCTCCAGAGTTCAGTCCCCAACAACTGGTTTCACTAAAACCTGCTGCAGATTTTCTTCTCCCCTTCAGTGAGATGGCTTTTCCCCTTCCAACCCAGAGGTAAACCCTAGCAAACCCAAAGTCCCTCTGCAGAGGGAGAAGGTGGGGGGCAAGGGGCAGGGTCCGGACAAGAACATCGTCTCCTTACACAAGTGATGCGCGCATCGCAGGTGGAAGGTGTCACAGCCATGGACATGGTGGTAAAGGGTCTTCTCTATCAGGTCCTGGGGCTCGTAACCTGTTAGCTCAGCTACCCTGCAAGAGAGACAAGCAGCGAACGTCGGTGGGTGAGGGGACAGGAGAGGAGGCCTGGGGGGAGGAGAAGGGAGGGGGCTGGGGGAACAGATTTGGAAATAGCCCCAGCTCTACCTGGAATCTAGGAATATGAGCTTCATGTCCAGGCTGGCCCGAAACATGAACATGTTGCTGTGGAGCTTGATCTCCGTCACGGCGCTGGGCGGCAGCGAGTGGCCCACGGCCACCAAGCCAACGTTCTGGTAGCAGCCGCCGAAGGGGGACATGTCCAGGGGTTCC